AGATCATCCCCAACTATGATACTCAGCTAAAGAGGATGAAGCTCATTTGCCATGTGCAGTACAACGCCCCTGCTCCTGCCCCTCCGATAGACTTCTATTTCTACAAAAATAACAGGCGACTGGGACCTGCAACCTCTGACAACTATAATGTAGTGAAACAGACTCCAGGGCTGTACAGCTGCAAGGCCAGGGTGCCTCAGTTGGGCCTCTCGAAGTCCAGTGAACCCAAAAACTTTGGACAAATAAGAGGTATTTAAATTTTAATTTACCCCAGCATTTGTTCTACACCGATAAGCCCCAAAGTTCCTAATGGATTGCTAAAAATGTGATACTTTGTGTCTAACAGTTGCACAGCCTCAGAGGCCAACTCATCTCTGACCCAACAGAACCTGAGAAGATGCCACCTCTTCATCCTGGACTCCAAAGGCCAGTATTTCGCCTTGCTTCAGCCACAGATGACTTCCCACCTGCTGCTGCTTCATTACCAACCTCCCCTAACCTCTCCTCTCACCAGCCGATTCAGTTCACTCCAGTAAAGAGCACACCATCACAAGCGCCTCCACTGAAGACTTCATAAGCAGTCCCAACCAGTTTGCTGACTACAGACCAGGATTTTAACTCAGCTACAACTCAAGATCAGGCAAATTGATTCGAGGAACCTGGTAACATGTCTGGGGACATAAACATAGTAACTAATTGACAATAAACCAGTAAACCAGTCACCAGTAAACATCCACAACATAAGATGTACTGGCTGCTTTACCAAAACATTTCTTATAACTTTCACTGAAACCAGCTAATTGTTTTCTATCATATTTCTGATGAAACAACACAGTTACAGGCTAATGCAGGAGAGAAACGTCATTTAGCTAGCGCACCCACGTTACTAGCGTTACCCAAGGATAACCTGAATTAACCCCCTTATTTGGTCACGTTACTTTAAATAAATATCAATTTTACATAAATGTATATACTGCTCGTCTACCGCTCTCACCTGAAACGCAGCAAAACAGCAGTTGTGTGTTACTGATGGTAACTGATTACTACTTTTATAAGGGATTACTTTGTCAGTCACTCATTTGTGTGATCCGCCACTGCCACCTACTGGCGGAACTAAATATCGCCTTAGCATCAAATCAGGTGGGAGGAAATGAGCTTTTCACTCTGTGTTATGATG